GCTTCTCCGGCCATGCTGAGGCCGCGTCCCACATGCAGCAACTAGAAGGATGTGCAGCTACAACATACAACTATCTACTGGGGCTTTGGGGAAAAATAAATAAATAAATAAAATCTTAAAGAGCCCACGAGGTAGCAACTCTGATGAGATCTCTGGACTGTTCAGTGTCTGACTCTCGAACTGGTCTAGAATCTGAACTTTGTCTCCTGTTTGCCACTGTGTCCCAGTGCTTGACACTGCCTGGCCCACAATTTGGTTTCAACAAACACCTGGGGGAAGGATGGGTGGGTGGGTCGAGGATGGTCCATAGGTTCCTTCATCTTCACCCATCAGAGGGACCGGTACAGAACAGGGGTTCAGTGATGCTTTATTGAATGAATGAATAAATCAGGAATAAACTGTTCTCATAGCATAAGATGTCCATCCTTCATCCCATCCAGCCATAAGGCTTACCTCATTCAGGACATCTTCTCCTTCATCCCAAACTTACAATAGTCACAGCTAATTCTGAGTGAGTGTTCACTGTGGCTAAGCTCTGGGCTAAGCTCTTTTCATGCATTATTCTCACATTGAACCTCCCTATGTGGTAGTCTGTATTTTACAGAGAGAAGACAGGAGAGTACAGTAGTTAAGAGCCTGCGGGGGCCGGCCCGGTGGTGCAAGCGGTTAAGTGCACGCGCTCCGCTGCGGCGGCCCGGGGTTTGCCGGTTCGGATCCCGGGTGTACACTAACACACCGCTTGTCAAGCCATGCTATAGCGGCATCTCATATAAAGTGGAGGAAGATGGGCATGGAAGTTAGCCCAGGGCCAGTCTTCCTCAGCAAAAAGAGGAGGATTGGCAGATGTCAGCTCAGGGCCGATCTTCCTCAAAAAAAAAAAAAAAAAAGAGCCTGGGATCCGGCATCTGGCCTGGCCTCCTCCTGGCTCCTGCACTTACTAGCGCCATGATCTTGAGACTAACAAGGGAGCCGACTTCCCAGGGAGAAGTTTAGAGGCGTAAAGGGAATAATCCACGAGCATGCCTGGCACAGAACAGGCGCTCAGTAAATGTTGGCTATTATCATTATGACCCAGGTGAGCTGGGGCTCCAGGGCTGTGCTCTGGATCTCGGCTCTAATTGGCTTAAGCTCAGAGCAGCTTCAAGTCTTCAGCAGACAGTCCAGCCCTTGGTTCTCAAGGATCTGGAAGATGTACTTGCCTTGAATTTCTGCCTTTTCTGTGGGAGCCTCCAAGGTTCAGAATACCATGGCAGCAGAGCCTGCCACAGGCTAGCGCCCCCAGGCCCAGTGATGGACTGGCTGTGAGCCCACTGGTGGGGAAGAAGGGAGCCCAGCTCCAATCTACCTCCTCCCACCCTGCCCCGACTCACTCCTTCCGCCGGGAGAGCAGCAAGCAGTCATTGAAGAGGTGCAGGTAGACCGCCTTGCTGGACAGCTTCAGCTTGGCGGGGGGTGCGGCGGGCAGTGGCGCCAGCTCCACCAGCTCCCCATGCCGAACCAGCCAGCGGGCCTGAGAGATCAGTGGGAAGATCTGGGAGGAAGGAGGAGGACAGGTCGGGCCCAGGGCAGCAGGCAGAAAGCACAGGACAGGGGATGGGAGGGTGGCAGTGATGAACCGGCCTGCAGCCCCCAGGAAAGGAGGGGACACAGCTGCCCCTTTGTGTGCCGTCCCGCCAGCTGCGGGCACGCACCTTGCCCTCGAAGTGGATCTTCTTGCTCAGGTGGATGAGCTCCTCTGTCCTCTTCATGGACTGCACGCTGGCGTTGCACTCTTGCACCAGCTGGGGAGGCCGTGCAGGGTCACCTGCAGCCCCCAACCTCCGCTCCCAGAACCCAGCCTCAGACTCCCACCTGGGGACCAGGGACTCTGAAGGCCGGGCTCTTTTGGAGACACAGTGGGGTTCTGGGGAGGCCCTCAGGAGCCCGACAGCCCCTGCCCTACCGAGCTCACCTCCTTGAGTGCGTTGAAGGCTTTGGTGGCCATGTCTTCATCTTCAGAGCCCTGCGCTGTCCGCTTCAGGATGTTCTAGAGGGTGGGGTCGGCACAATGAGGCAGGCTGTGACCTCCCCCCATGACCCTGCCCATCCATGGGTGCCCAGAAGGGGCTGCAGAGGGCGCGGCAGCATCTCCCTCTCCCAGCCCTCACCGCAGCCTGTGCCCTCCAGGTACCTCCACCAGCATCTTGAGGCGGGTGATCCTCTGAAACGGCAGGATGAGGAAGGAGGTGAGGGGCAGACGCTGGCACACGGGAGACTCCTCCAGACGAGCCAGGATGCCAGGGAACTTGGGGTTCTCCAGGCTGGAGAATTGGGAGGGGTCTGGGGTCACAGGTGGGCCTGAATTCCTGGATGCACGACCCCAGCCGCTCCATTGGTTCTGCAGGTGCCTTCTCAGATTCCTCAGGTCCTTCCTGCCCCCTGGGGTTGGGTCTAGCCTTATCCTAGTCACGGAGCTCCTTTCAGGAACCCCTCCCCTCCCGGGTCACCATTCCTCACCCAGTCCTCTGCTCCTACTCCTGCCTGAGACCCCCTCTATCGTCCCCCCCTTCTGAGCTCCCAGCCCTACAGCAGGCGCTGGTAGGTGCGCTCCTGGTAGGCCTGGTTGGTGACGTAGGGCAGGTAGACGCGGCGGAAGGCCGGGCAGTGGTGCAACACAACGTCACACACGCTGAAGCGCAGGACATCCGCCTCCAGCCGCTGCTCCAGGTCTTGCAGGAACCTGAGGGGTCAGCGAGGGGTCAGGGCCAGGGCAAGACCCCAGACCTGGGAGCCCGGCCAATCGCAGGCTCGGTTCCCACGCCCTGCCCCCACAGGCCAGCTCACTCCCTCACCTCTCGCTGGTGCTCTTGACCTCGGGCAGTTTGGAGAACAGCCACTGCTTGTCCTGCGCCCCCAGACACTCGCTCAGCTCAGCCGAGGCTAAGAAGTGGCCCACGGCCACCGAGAGGCTGTGGATGTACGAGGCCTCGGACGTGATCAGCTCAAACTTGGCCTGAGCGGGGGTGGACGCGGGGTTGAAAGGGCCCAGCCAGCCCACTCCGGACAGCCTTGCCTCTCATATCCCCCCATGCAGCCCCGGACACCAGTTGCTAAGACACAGCCGCACCCCATGCCCCGCCCCTTCTCTAGCCTCACCCCAGATCTGGTGCCAGGCGGGGTTCGAGGACCCACCTCCTGCCGCGCGCAATTGTTCAAACCCAACTAGAGCCCTCGATTGCGCTCCCAGCTCCGCCAATCGGCCGGCCCTAGTCATTCCACGGCCCTGCCCCTCCCGGGGTGCGTCTTTCCTTAGCCCGGCTCTCCCGCTGACCGCGCCCCTGCCCTTGGCCCCGCCTGGCCACGCCCCCACCACGCATTGTCACGCCCGGTGGCTCCGCCTCTCCCCTGTCCTTGCTGTCAGAGATCCCACCTCGGCCGCCCGCCCGATTCCGCCCCTCCTCTGGCCCCGCCCTATCCTAGGCCCCGCCCCTTCGTCCCGCTTCTCCGCTAGCCTTCGGCTCCTCGGCTTCTCCGTCCTCGGCTGCAGCCAGCCCCCCCTTGTCAGGTCCTTCCGCGATGACAGTCCCGCTGCCCCCGCCCTCCGGTGGTCCGCCTTCCCCGCTGGGTCCCAAGCCCACCTCCTGCAGTTTTCAGTCCCACTGGCCTGGTACCCTCGTGGTCCGGGTCCCGGCTCAGTCCCGAGACCACGTACTCCTGGCCCCGCCCCTTCTGTTGCCCCACCCGCTCTGGGCCCCAGGACCACCTCCCCGGGCTTGCAGCCCCGCTGGCGCCGCCCCGCCAGGCCCCAGCGCCCACCTCCTGCAGTTTGCAGTCGCGCAGGCTCAGCGTGGCCAGGACGCCGCTGCCGCGCACGTCGGGGATGTCCTGCCACAGCGAGAAGGTGGAGCCTCGCGCCGAGCGCTGCGCCCGGAAGGAGCTGCTCGGCGAGAGGTTGGCGCGCGGCGGCCCGGGCCCCTCCTCTGCGCCCTCCGCCTCGTCCCCCGGGCCCTCCTCCTCGCGCTGCTGCCGCCGCAGTTCGCGGGCGCTGGCCACGTCGCTGTATTCCTGGTAGAGGACGGCTGGGCGGGCACAGGGGCGGGGAGGGCCGTGGGGCGCTCGCCAGCCCGACCCCGCTCCTCCCCTGCTCCCCCAGAGCCCGCCTCACTTAACAAGCCTTTCCGACGGTTCGGATAGCGGGACACAGGGAATTCATTCATTCACTCATTCCACAAACACTGCTTGAGCACCAGCTGCGTGCCAGCCCTGTGCTAGACACTGAGAATTCAGTCCTCTCCCTCTCACACCATCCCTACCTCTCTACTCTCCAAACCCTAGTTGCCCAGTCCCCCCAGCCTTCCTCCGTGACCTCCTCTCACGTACAGGTGAGGAGGAACCGTGACTGGCGCCGCTCGCTAGCGCTCCGGGAACCCAGAGCTGGCTCTTCTTGCGTGTCCAGCCTGGGAAAGGGAGAGTGTCAGGGCCTCTACGTCAGCACCCCGCCTCGGACCCGAGCCCTGGGTGGGAGGTGGTACCTGGGCTCAGGCCAGCCGCCGTGGTCCCCGCTCGCGTCAACCGGGGCTGGCGTCGCCATACCGTTCACTCTCACTTCTACACTGCGCGACTCCCTTCCACACACTTTCCCTGGAGAGGGTAAGAGCTGAGGGTGAGTGGCCCCAGAGTGGCGCTGGGCACCAGGGCGACACACTCTAGCTGACCAGCACCCAGTCTCAGGTGTCCAGTGGGTGGGCCGTGCCCCAACCCGCATCTGGCTCATGAGCTGCTCTTAGGGCCCAGGGGAGGATATGGTACCTTCCCGAGCTGCTCCAGTGCCTGACCCTGTGGTCAGTGCCCTGGCTGCCGAAATCCGCCCCAGACGCAGAGAAGAGTGCAGCCGGGTCATCAGCTCAGAGGCTGAGAAGCGCCTCCGCTCAGGCCCCTCGAGGCCCACGCGGGTGGGCCCAGACAGCTCCAGCTGCCGAGGCTCCTCTGTGCTCCGGGCTTGCTCTGCCGCCTGGCCAGGCTCCAGGAACACAGCATGGGCCTCCAGGCTGCCAGGGGCCTCTTCACGCTGGTACACCCGCATCTTGCGCCCTGCAGGGAGGGGAGGTGAGAGCACAGGCTGGCATCCACTGGGGTCTCACCCCACCTTCTCCCTGCTGCCACCCTGTGGCCCTGAGCATCTGGGGGACATGCCCAAAGGAAAGGCCAATGTTTTTGCCAGGATCTGGTCCCCAGAGAAAGGGATCAACAAGAGGGGTAGAGAGAGCAGTGCTGGACTGCAGTGGGGAAAGGGCCAGGTGCCCAGGACAGCCACTCACTTGCTGTGTAAGCTCAGACAAGTCGCTTGTCTTCCCTGAGCTCCAGTTCCCTTATCACTAAAATCTACCACTTGTCCTGCCTCTTTGGGGAACTCTGGAGCTTAAGAGTCCTAAAAGAGCCACCCAGCCTCTCCCCTATCCACCCCACTGGGCCACCACCCCCTCACCCAGAGTGACTCACAGGCTGACTTCTTCTCCGAGCCATGGCTGGCCCGGCGCTGCGGCTGTGGGTGCTGGGGACTCCAGGGTCCCTCCAGAGCTGGGGGCTGGGCACTAGGACAGTGTGGCCAGCTGCCAGCCCTGCTGGGCCGCATCCCCCCACTGGTGGAGATCTTGGTGTCTGGGCCTCCTGGGGATGGTGGCCATAGCAGCCCTTGGAGAGGAGCAGGGGTCCCCAGGGACCAGCGGCTGCCAGGAGCCCGCAGCTCCTCTGGCGCAACGGGGAAGAGATCCAGACACACAGGGCTTGGGGGCTGCAGGGTGGGCAATTCCGCAAAGGACAGACTCTCCTGCTGGCACACGGCTACTGGGTGGCAGGCAGTGCTAGGTGGCCCAGCCAGGTGGGACTGGAGGGTGGCAGGTGGCCCACAGTCCATTCCTCCTTTGCTCTGCCACCCACCTGGGCCTGCGGGGGAGAAGGTATCAAAGCCAGACACAGGACAGCAGACCTGGCCAGTGAGCCGTCATGTCCTGGAGGCCTGGACAAACGCTTGTGTACACATGTGTACACACATCTGTACAAGCACACTCACACCCCTAATTATAGTAGTACTAGCTAATACTTAACACTTACTGAATGACAGGCCAAGTGCTTTATACATATTATCTCATTTAATCCTCATGGCAACCCTGAGTTGATGCTATTATTATCCCCATTTTATAGGAGAGGAAAGTGAGGCACAGATGTCGTTACTTGGTAAATGGTGGAGCCAGGATTCAAACCCAGGCAGTCTAGCTCCTGAATCCACACTTTTAACCACCTTGTACATTTTCTAACTCTCACTGACATACAATCAGACATACAGATACATACATTGCCACACAAATCCATGTATGTTCCATGCACACACACACACACACACCACACACATTTTCTCCCAAGTACACACTTGACATACACACTTTCACAGATACACTCAGACATTTCAAATTCACAGGCTCACACATTCACACACACTTTTTTACACAACAATATACAGTCACACACTTTTTCACACACACACTGATCCATCAGATATTTACATATCCACTTTCTCACACTCACGCACCAGGATGCAGACAAACACACAGACCCAGAAGTCCTTGCTTTGGTCTTCCCCAACCTCCCCTCCCATGCCCAGCATTGCAGCTTTCAGCACTGAGTGGTGCCCACACCCATGCCAAGCTGGCTGGGAGGGTCACAGACTGGCAGGCGGGCCACCACCTAGATCAGGCTGGGCCCTCCCAGGAGAAGGGCAGGGAGGTGCCCCAGCCCCCCAGCTTGGGGTGAGAGAGGGGTTCTTCCCTACCCAGCTCCCAGTCCTGGGATCAGGCCAGGCTAAAGGATCCTCTCTGGGTAGGAAGTCATCCCCAGGGAGCCTGCCGGAGCCTCAGGACAGGCCTAATGATCGAGGGGTCCGAGTGCCCACAGCCCTTGCCCCGTGGCCCTTGCTAGATGCCCTCCTGCAGCCCCTCACCTCTCCAGCCGAGGCCCACTGCAGATGTTGTTTGGCTGCTCCGGCGGGGGAAGCCCTCTCTCTGCCCAGCTGGCTGGGGGAGATCCCACCCAGACAAAGAGTTTGATTCATCAAACCCTGTGGTGAGGCAAGCGGGCAGAGAGGGAGGAGGCAGGCAGCAGGCTGGGCGGGGGCCTACCCTAGCCTGGCCTCGCTACGGGCAGGCCGGGCAGCACGGACCCCCCGAGGCCCCCTGGGCCAAAGGGGCAATGCCCAGCCTGGCAGGGCCAGGAGACCCAGGAGACAGAGACTGAGAGACTGAGAGATAGAGACCTAGAGACCTTTTAGGCAGCAACTCAGAAACCGAGACCCCAAAGCACTCAAAACCAGAAAACCACAGATGCTGAGACATTCAGGGACCCAGACATGGAGACAGAGAGACAGAGACATTGACAATTTCAGACAGACCAGACACTCAGAGACAGAGGTGAAGCCCAGAAAAACCCAGGGAGACAGATGGACAAACACTTTGTGCCCTGCTGGGTTGCCAATCTAGTGGGGGAGCCGAAAACAAAAACAGCCATAATCCCAGTTGGCAGGAGCCAAGCCAGAGGAACCATCAGAGTAGAGAGCTGGGCTCAGCTCAACCTGGGCATTCCAGGAAGGCTTCCTGAAGGGAGCAATAGCTAACCATTCAGCCGAAATACCCAGGGACCCAGTGCACATAGGTAAGGAGAAAGCCCTGGCCTGAGAGAAACAGTGACTGTCTCAGAGACCCTGGGAGACAGGGAGGGAGGAGAGGACCCAGGGGAGGACGGCTGGGTCTGTGACTGGGCCCCACTCTCTGCACAGCCCCTCGGAGAAGCCGAGCAAAGTCAAGAAGAGTTGCTTCCCCTGCTCTCTTCATCCCCTTCCTGGTGTGTGTGCCTGTGGGTGGGGGGTATTGGCTGCTCCTAAGGGACAATTACTCCTTCAGGCCCTCCCCTCAGGGACAGCTGTAGCTTATACCTTAAACTTCTGACCATCTGAGCAAGTCTCTCAGTTTCCTCATCTGGTTAATAGGATGGTCATCCCAACTTCATAAGCTAATATGAGAATTAATGATAATGCCTATAGAGCACCTAGCTCTCAGTGGGAGCTTTGTAGTTGATAGTGATTCTTCGGAGTATTATTATTAGTCTTTCTCTAGTCAGGGGGATGGCTTGGGCAGTTACAGACATGGGGAAATTGAGGCAGAGGATGAGGCACACCCTACTTTGTAGGAGCACGTGGCAGGAGACACAGGGGACCACTGCCCACCAGACAGGCCTCTCTCTCTCCAGGAGTCAGAAGTCCTCAACACAGAAGTCCCATTTGCTTCTGTGGGCACACACGTGCAAGAATACACACATGCCCCTGCTCCCTTGTCTTCTGTGAGATTCTCTCCATTTGGGTTCTGGAAGCCCCTGGAGGGCAGGGAGGAACCTCCTCACCCTTGTCAGTTGCAGAAGTAAATGAGCAAAAATATGGAACCCTTGGGGCAGGAACAGCTCCTATGAAAGCCTCAGAGGAGAAGGCTGGGTGAATGTCCTGGGAGGGGGTGGTGGAAGGCTTTCTGGGGAGATGTGGTTGAAGGCAGGTCCCTAGGGGGAAAGTCAGAAGCAAGTCAGCCTCCACCTCTATCCAGGCCAGGGGGCAATGGGAATGACCCATCTAGCTGGGATGCCAGCCCTGTGGCCTTCCGGGGATGTGGCCCACTCAACCTCAATGCTGGGGATCAAGGAGGGGCGAGCTGTGTTCATATTGTATGTAGCTCATGTCTGCTTGAAAAAAAACCTCAAGAAGAGAACTGGCCCCAGGTAGCAGGGATATGACCTGCCCAAGACATGATCACAGGATACTCCAGTCCCACTAGGCAAGGGTCATTCTGGAACCTACAGCAGAAAACCCCTGCCAAGGTTCAAGGCCCAGTGTTGACACTGACCAGCTGTGTGGCCTTAGGCAAGGCAGAGCCTGTCCCTGGGCCTCAGTGTCCCCTGTAAAGTAGACCCTAAGGGCCCTCCTGGCTGCCCTCTAGGAAACCTGTGACATCATGAGTGTCTCTGCAGGCCGAGAAGGATGGGCAGGGGCCAAGGAGGGTCCCATCCAGTGGGCACTGCTAATCACATGGACAATGGGCCCACTTGGCAAGGCTGGCAGAGAGGGTCCCTGGACACTACCATGGTCCAGGGGAAGCCTCCTGTGCCCAGCTGTTCCCTGCCCCCTCCCTGGTGCCCCTTGCCCTGCTGCCCAGAGAAGCGTCCTGCCAGGGCCCCTCTGCCCCTTAAGGGACAAAGCCAAGTGGGAGGTCATGGCCAGAAAGGGGATCCAGGCCAAGCAGGCTGCAGAGCCCCAGGAGGCCATAAGTGGGTGGGGGTGGGAGCCAGGATCAGAGGCCAGGCAGGCAGCACAAAGGACTCCCTCGGGAAGACTGGCGGGAGGAGGATGGGGCTGCTGGCAGCCGGATGGGGCCCTACCTCAGCCAGGGAGCTCCGTCCGACCTCCGGCAAGGTCCAGGACTCCAGACCACCCTGGGGGCTCTGGGGTTGCAGCCAGGTCCTCAGGGGGCGATGTCAGCATGGCCCCTAAGCCGGGCAATGCAAGCTCCTGGGTATTGTGTGGGGCGCGGAGGGGGGAGGCGAAGGTGGAGGGAACCTTGCAGGCAGGCAGGCGGGCGGCTGTCTCAACGTGCCTGCTCCCCACCCCCCTTCCCCAGAACCGGTTTGGCCAGTCTGGGGTACAAGAGGGGGGCTGGAACAATGGGAGTCCTATGCCCAGGAGAGGCTCAGAAGGACCCCAGACCGACGTCCTAAAGATGAGGGAGGCACTGCTTTTCCTCCCAGGAGACAGGTCACTCCTCTTCTGGACCTTCCCAAATGTGAGACATGCACAGGGGGCTCTTTGGGGCTGGGGAGCATCCTGCGAGCTTCATAGAAAACCTCCCAAGTCCTGGGCTCCTCAGAGACCCTGAGAACTCCACAGTGTGCTGACCGCCTCTGAGCCAGCTATAGCATCTATAAAACGGGAATACTCATCTCTACGATTGTGAGACGGAAATCATGCAAGTCGGTGATGTGACGCATCTGGCATCATCCTGGCCAGCCCTTCCAGCATCACCACTCCTCCTGAATGACCCATCCTCCCTTGCTGCCTAGAATGATCCACCTCACCATTTCCAACGGCCTCCTCTACCAGGAAGCCTTCCCAGACTCTAGTCCACACCAAATGAGCCCTCAACAAACCAATTCAAATAGCCCAAGTAGAACCAGCCTCCCGGAAGGAGGGCTACTCTGTTCCTGGTATGCAATCTTCCCAAGGCTGTGAAAGGGGAAGCTGCTTTCTCTCTAATATTACCTACTGTTTATTTGAGCATTCGGTAATTGTCAGGCATTTAGTATTAATATTAATATGTACACAAATACTAATATTCATGTTGCTAATAACTCTTATTGTACACTCACTATGTGCCAGGCACTGTTCTGAGCACTTCACACCTATTTGTTCATGTAATCTCCCACGACCCTACGAGGTAGATGCTGTTACTGCTCCCACTCATCAGATGAGGCCATGAAGCTTGCACAGGTTAGGTCGTGGGCATTATCCCATTTAAATCTCTCATCAGCTCTATGAAGTCCCTATCTTACAGACGATGAAATTGAGGTTCAAGGGATTAAATAACTTGCCCAAGGTCACACAGCTAATGAGTCAGAATTAATATTCAAATCCAGGTCTGTCTGGCTCCACCACAACCTGCGTCCTTAACCACTGCTCAGTACTGCCTCATCAGATTTTGGGGAGGATCTGGTGAAAAGTGCGTGAAAGTCCACTGGGAGGTGTCTCAGCTGACCTAACTAAATCCTGTTATTATTATTATTTTGTGTGTGTGTGTGAGGAAGATTAGCCCTGAGCTAACATCCGTTGCCAATCCTCCTCTTTTTGCTGAGGAAGATTGGCCCTGGGCTACCATCCGTGCCCATCTTCCTCTACTTTATGTGGGACGCTGCCACAGCATGGCTTGACAAGTGGTGCATCGGTGCACACCTGGGATCCGAACCTGCGAACCCCGGGCTGCAGGCTGCCACAGTGGAGCGCGCACACTTAACCGCTACGCCACTGGGCCAGCCTCAACCCTGTTGTTATTATTATTCAGACACTACAGGCCTTGATGAACATATGGCGCAAGGGATCCAGGGCCCAGACCCCAATGAATTTTCTGCTACCAACTGGTGACCATTCCATTCAGAGAGATTAGGTCCCTGCTAATCCCTCATATCCAGTTTGGCCCCCCAGAACATCGTCAGGTAATGAAGAGACATTGCACATGTGTGGGGGTCCAGGTGTCCATGGAGAGGTGCAAGCTGGGGTGCAGAGAGAAGTTTATTGTCAGCACTGCACAAGGGCAGGAGATGGGGAACAGGGAGAGGGCGGCAATGCAGGACTAGGGGTCCTCAGAGAACTCTAATCCTCCCTCTCTTCCCAGCTCCAGGGCGGCCGTGGGGCCGCTGGCCAAGGTACCGCTCAGACCCCTAGCCAGAAGCAGAGGACCCCAATCGAAGGAGCATCCTGGGGGACCTAGGGTCCTGGAAGGGCAGTCCTGGCTCACTCGCCCCTGCGTCCTGGGCTCCGGGGACAACGCCCCTGCTGCAGTGGACAGAAAACACGGCTTGGTCAGGCAGAGCTCTGGCCCTCCAGAGCAGAAGCGACTCTTTTGGGATTAATGTAAAAGAGGGGCGTGGCGTGGGCGGAGTTTCTTGAAGGGCGGGGCCAGGCAATAAATAGAGGGAATCCAGCCAATCCTCCCTCTGGGCGAGGCCAAACCAGAGGGCGGGGCAAGAAAGCTGACCTAAGGCCTCGGGCGGGTCTAGGGGGCGTGGTCAGGGGTGGGGCCAGTGTCCGCGGGCCGTGCTGACAGAGAGCAGCGCCTCCCGGTTGACCGCCAGCGCCTGCTTGGCCAAGGTAGCGCCCGCGCTTTATCTTGGTGGCCAGTCCGGCTGGCACGCCGGGCACGAGCCAGGCGATGAGGCACAAGAAGAACACCACGTGCTGGGGAGAAGGCGGGCCAAAGAGAAGGATTGCCTCAGCAATCTTAATTTATGGAGCGCTGACTAAATGCAAGGCAGTATTTGAGGGTTTTCCGGTTATTCATTCATTTAATCCTCACAACAGTTCTAGGCGGTGAGTACAATTACTACGCCTATTTTACGGGTGAAGAAACCACAGCATATAAAAGTTGTCATATGCCCAAAGACACAGAGGTATAATTCGAACCCCTTAACACTAGGGATCCTGTTATAGGTAGGGCTAGAGAACGACGATCTTGAGCAAAGCTGGAGGGAGCATGCTTCCTTTCCTTCCTCCAGGTCTGTTGCCAAGAGATAATAATATTAGTAGTGTAGTGATGTTAATTCATCGAGCACCTACGATGTGCGAGGCACTGCGCAAGCGCTTGACACTGAATCTTCATAACAACCCTATGAAATAAATCTTATTCTATAATATATCCCGGGTTACAGCGGGTCGGCGGCAGAGCCTGAACTTGAACTCAGGTCTGTCCGACGCGCAGATGGCTGAGCCTACCTCGAAGGCGATGAGGAAGCCCAGACGCACAGCCAGCAACTTCCAGTGAAAGAGGGTGAGGTTCTCCTGCGCGTCGAGAAAGGCTTGTACCTGGGTTGCGGGGAGCGCGGGGTCCTGCGAAGCTCTCGACTCGGCGCCGGGCACTCCCGCTCCTCCCCGCCCTTGAGCCCGGCCCTGCCCCCTCAGCACTTACGCCCAGCCAGCTCTGCCCACCAGTCCGCCCCCCAGACTCAGCTTCCGGCCCTCCCAGCTAGGCCCCGCCTATCCCTCCCACAGGCTCGCCGCCCCGCCTCCAAATTCCAGGGCCCCGCCCCTCCTAGACAGGCCCCTCCCCTCCCAGCTAGGCCCCGCCCCACCTCTCCCGCAAGCTCACTGCCCTGCCTCCAGATTCAGCACCCCGCCCCTCCCAGCAGGCCCCGCCCCTCCCAGACAGGTCTCTCCCCTCCCAGCTATGCCCCGCCCCACCTCTCCCGCAGGCTCACCGCCCCACCTCCAGACCCGGTCCCTCCCAGACAGGCCCCACCCCAACCAAGCTCAGCGCCCCTTCCCTCCCAGACGGTCCCGCCCCCTCCTCGCCCCGCCCCGCGCCTGGCGGGTGCAGGGCGTGTGGTTGCCCTGAGCAAGGTACGCAGGAGGTGTGGGCGCCGGCGTGAAGCTAACATAGCCGCGCAGGTGGCTGTGCTGCTCGTGCCGGTACAGGAGACGCAGCAGGAAGTCCGACGTGAAGGCGATGAGGAAAGCCTGCAGGGCAAGAGGGCCTTTAGGGCCCAGTCTCCAACTCACCCCCACCTGGGCCCAAACCCACTCCGCAGGCAAAATTAGCCTGCACCCGGGATCGTAGCCCTCTGCCCCTATTTCCCAATCTCTGACCCTGAATTCCTGCCTCAGCCCCCATTTCCCCATTCCTGAGCCTCCTTCCCAGTCTCTGACCTCCATTTCCCCTTTGACCCTGTATTACCCTTCTTTGCCCCAAACTCACATTCACGATGACTGAAAGGTGGGCCATGGCCTCAAGCAGGAGCAGCCAGATCCCAATGCCCTGTGCCTGCTCAGCCACTGGCAGCCGGTACTCACACACGAACTTATGGGCATCCGGTCAGATTTCCACCCAGTTGTTGATCAGAGCAAACAGGGCCACCAGTGTGAAGGCCACCACAAAGATGGTGATGAACCCAAACTGCAGCACTGGGAGTTAGGGAATGTCAGGCTGAGGTCACCTCCCTTGCTGAGCCAAGCCACCAGGAACCCCACTGGGGCTGGTACCGCTGGGCCACTGCTCACCCATCTCCAGGTATTCATCAAACAGGTCCTCACACTTGATAAGCCCATATTCCTCCTCCCAGCACCCCAGCTCCTGCGTGATCTGGGTGTCCCACCGACTGCCACCAGGCCTTCAGCTTCCTGGACCAGGAGCTAGGGAAACCAAACAATGCCATTTCTATCCTCCCCACATCCCTTAGAGATAGGCACCATGATCATTCTCACTTTACAGATGAGGAAACGGACACTCAAAGACCTTGCCCAAGGCTTCCCAAATTGTGAGTGGTGCAGCCAGAGTCAAATCCAGTCTTTTGGACTCTAGAGTCCAGTGCTCTTAACTCTGTGCTCCCTGTGTGGTCATTCTTGGTCTCTGGACCCCCCTCCCCTCCCCAAAAGAATAATAGAAAGCCCTCCTCTTTCTTGTTCAGCATCTCATTTAATCCTCTCAACTCTTTTGGAATGATGTTATTGTCCCCATTTTACAGGCGAGGAAATTAAGGCTTAGAAAGAAGCAAAGCCACAGAGCTTACAAGAGGCAGAGCTAGGACTTGTACCCCTGTCTCCTGACTCTCAGTCAAGAGGGTTTCTGCTTCGCTCTCATAAAAACCCTCCCCACAGCCTGACTAGGCCCACCCCTGTGCCCCGACCCCAGCTCCTGCACTCATGGCAGAATGAACACCATGTTGCTGACCAGCTCTTTGCCCACCATGATAATGAAGAGCTGCTGAGCGAGCTCAAGGAGGCAGCCGCCAGGGCCACACTGTGGTTGGCAGACACAGGGCACCTCGCTCAGGGCTTAGGGCCTGAACACGGGTGGCCCCGCCTCCTGCCAGAGCATGGAGCTGGCCCCCTGCTCCTTGGAGGCCCCAGAGGCAGATCCTGTCCCTGCCAGACCTGAGGGTATGATGACCCCTACCTCCCCCAGGAGCTGGCCACCTGGATGTACTCACATCCTCGTTCTGCATGGCATGCCGAGCAGCATGCCATACTGACCAGGGTACCCCACAAACCTGTAGGCCCACTGCATCTGTTGGCAATGTTCTCTCCCTCTCTGGAGCCTGGCCCCAGCTAAACTCCATGCTGAGGCTGACCCCCTCTCCCAACTCTGCTCCTGATCCTCTGGCCTCCCACCCGCTGAGAGTGAACTTGGGTGACAGGGCTGCCGGGAGGTCTTGCCCCCCCGCCCCCACTAACCCCAAAGGGCTATGTTGCCAAGGGCCTGTCAGGGCCATGGCCCACATCTACTGCTCACTCCATGAGAAGCCAATGGGGTATTTCTGGCCCAGGAAGAGGGAGTCATGCTGCTAGGTTGAAGGTTCTTTTTTTTTTTTTTTTGTGAGGAAGATCAGCCCTGAGCTAACATCCATGCTAATCCTCCTCTTTTTGCTGAGGAAGACCAGCTCTGAGCTAGCATCTATTGCCAATCCTCCTCCTTTTTTTCCCCAAAGCCCCAGTAGATAGTTGTATGTTATAGTTTCACATCCTTCTAGTTGCTGTATGTGGGACGCGGCCTCAGCACGGCCAGAGAAGCGGTATGTCAGTGCGCGCCCGGGATCCGAACCCGGGCCACCAGTAGTGGAGCGCGCGCACTTAACCACTAAGCCACGGGGCCAGCCCTAGGGTGCAGGTTCTTTTGGTGATTCTCCCTCCCATTCCTGCCAAATGACAATGGCAATTACCCAGTAATACCACCTCCTGGGAATCTAGCCCTTTAGGACTCCTAACCAGTCCTCGTTAAAAACTGGAAGCTCTTGGAGGAAAAGACTAGCTCTGGCTCATTTCTGTGTCCCCAGCGTCCAGTCCAGGGCACTCAGCAGGAAGGCCATCACAAAAGATGGGGATAAACCCAAACTGCATCTTTGGGAGGTGAGGGTGTCAGGCCTGGGGCACCCAGTGAGGGCTGAGTGAATGAATGAATGCAAGTGTTAGAGTTTCACATCCACCCAATGATGTGTTGGTATGTTACGGTTGAGAAAATTGAAGCCCAGGGAAATCAAGGACCAGCTTCGGTCAACAGCAAGACCTTGGCAGAGGCAAATCTGGAGGCTCAAGGATGCTGCCTTGAGCAGGCTCAAGGCCCGCTCTGCTGGGCCATTTTATTGGGAGGCAACATTCTTGGGGGTGGGGGGTCCTCACCTGCCTTTGAAGAATACCATATAGAAGGGAGAGGAGTAGAAATTGACGAACTGGAAGATGAAGACTTTGAAAGTGAAGGCATCTTCATGGAGGGTCTGGGTTCTGTGCATCTCTGGTCACTGTTCTATTGGATGCAAGAGAGCAGGCGCAGCCCATCGGGGCAGCCCTTATGCTCCTGTCCTCAACCCACCTTCCTCTAATGCCAGCCATGCTCCCCTGGCCACCCTCATCTGAGAATGGCTGAGCAGACTGGGGACATCAAGGCGGGAGCTGCAGGCTCTGAGGTGCAGGGAGCCCTGCCCCAGGGCTCCCAGTTCTCCACTGATTCCAGGACACCCCTGCAACACCCTGCCCTCACTCACCCCACCTGTGAGCTGCTCAGCCAGCATAGACCTGGCCCAAGAGGAGGATCAGCACCAGGTTGAGCACAGTGCTGCTGATGTCGGCAATGTTGCCAGCCCAGGCAGAGTGACGGCCATTATCTGGAGCCCAGCCACGTGGAGCGGTGGAAGGAACCTGAGGATGCCCACATTGGGCGTGGAGCCTGAAACAGGGCTTCCGCCCTCTGTTGCCCCAAGGGGCACTCACTTGGGTCATGAGCACAGGGTTGCCCACGTGGAACATTGCAATGCTGACGATGCTGTGGTAAATGATGACAGACACCAGGAAAATCATCTCCACGCACAGCTGGGGGCCAGCAGGGAGAGCTGTCACAGCTGGAGGGCAGGCCACCAGGGTCCCAGCCCACCCTGGAGGGGACGGTCCTTCCAGAGCAAGGGCCCAAAGCCCCCTCACCATGACGAGGATGGCTGCAGAGCTGGTGAGTAGGCAAGGAATGCGGTTGTGGGGTGAGAAGTAGGGCTCCTTCAGGCCTGTCAGGGGTTCTGGGCCATCTGCTGGGCTAGGGCAGCAAACTCTGGACGTGGGCACTCCTGTCAGAGGGGGCAAAAGAAATGTGTATCCGGGGGCCCAAGAGGCTGGGTGTCATGACCCTGGGGTGGGGGAAGCCCCCTCCTTTTCCTGCCTGCACAGGGGGCCCTGGAAGTGCCGGGATGAGGTCTGATTCATTTTTGTTTCCGCAGGGCCTTCTCCCCCAGGGCCTGGCTAAGAGCCTGTGGATGGACAGATGGGTGGATAAACAGGTGGGTAGACAGAGAAGTAAACAACAAACGGATGTCTTGTGGGAGAGGGCAGGATAGACTGATGGATGGGTGGGCAGTAGGTGGACAGACGGGTGGGTAAACTGGACAAACAACTGGCAAATCTGTATAAGTGGGTGCACACATGGATGGGTAGATGGGCAGATGGGTGGATGGATGTACGGATGGCTAGGTGTGGGAGCAGATGAGAGAGTAGTTGGATGGATGATGGACAGGAGGATGGATGGGTGGACGAGTAGATGGGTGGATATATTAGTTTATTCTCTAACTATTAACTGACTGCACATGACTCTGCAGTAGATACTGGATATGCCATGGTGAACACACTAGACAAGGCCTGACCCCTAATGGAGTTTACAGTCTAGTTGGGGAGACAGACATTAAACAAATGAACACAAATATGTAATTGTGAATAAGTCCTATGAAGGAAAACTGTTTTTCAGGGATGGTCATTCTGAGGAAATGACATTTTAGCTGAGACCTAAAAGATACTCAGGTGCTAAGTAAGGAGAGGGGTGGAGGGGAAGCATTTGTTGGTGGAGGGGGCAGTGTGTACAAAGGCAGGGCCACGCCTTGGGTCACATGTGGTGTATACTGTACTACTCTAGGAGGCACCATTCACATTGACTGTGTTACCTCAATGTTCCCTTTCTGCTTTCAGTCCTCCAAAATCTGTTTAACCAACCAATACCTTATATTAAATTCTCTCTGTTGAAATGTCTAGTCTGGATTCTATTTTCCTGTCAGCTCTAACTGTTGGATGAATTAAATGACGGATGGTTGAACAGATGGATAAGTGGAGAGATAGATTAGTGATTCACAGGTTCATTCAACAAACATTTATTGAGCACCTTCTATATGGTAGGGACTGTTCTGGGCCCTGGGGATACAGCAACGTCACATACAAGGTCCCTGCTCTCATGAGCTCACATTCTAGTGGCAAAGGACAGACAACAAACCAAGAAAATATAATGATAAATGCTGTGATGAAAGTAAAACCGTGTGAGGGAGCCTCTCTGGATTGGGTGGTCAAGGAAGGCCTCTCTAAGAAGGTGACATATAAGTTGGGATCTGAATGACAAGACGTAGGCCATATAAAGTCTGGAGGAAGAGGATTCTAGCAGAGAACAGCCAGTGCTAGGGCCTTGGCGTAGAAATGACCTTGTACTATTCAAGAAACAGCAAGGAGCCAGTGGGGCCAATGGAGGAGAACTAGGCAGAAGCCAGATCACACAGGGCCCTGTAGGTGGCCATTCCATCTGAGGATCCACTGGAAGGTTTTGAGTAGGATAATGCAGGATGTGATTTGTGTTTTCAAAAGAATGCTCTGGCAGCTGAGAAAGGATTAAGTGGGGTAAACACAGGAGCAAGGAGACCTGTTGGGGGGCTGCTGCAGTGATCCAGGTGAGAGAATGATGGCCTAGACTGGACAGTGGCAGTGGAGCTAGAGAGAAGCAAACAGATTCAGAATCAATGATTAGATGTTTGGATAGATAGGTGGTTGGGCTGGCTGGGTTGGTGAGTGGAATGCTTCTCCCCTTCTTCCCCATTCCAAGCAGGGTTTCTCTTTGAGACCCTAAATGTCCCAATGTTTAACCTCACCAAAACTTCTAACATCCTGATGTCAGGGGAGGGTGGAAAAGTGACCCAGGAAAAGTGTGGGGAGGAGCCAGATTTGGATCCTGGGATGTTGGACCCCAAAGTCTGAGCTCTTCCCAGCATACCTTGTGGCCTCTGAGAACTCTGGGAAGTGGAGTTCTGGGCCTGGAGGGCTGAGCTGGGCATCACCTCCTCTTCCTGGAAGTCACTGCAGTCCCAGTGATGGACCAAGGTGATGCTCTTGTGCTTCCAGTGCTCCAGGAAGGCCATGGCCCAGAAGGACATGAAGATGCTGAAGAACACAGGCCCTGGATGGCCAAAGAGGTACCCCAGCAGTGAGGGAGGGAGAGAGGGCACACTGCAGGGCACAGCTCAGCACTGCCTTCCCAGCAGCCAGGCCCAGGTGCTGGGTGCCCAACACCTACCCACCCATTCCCTTGCTCTCTTCCCTGGCTCACCTTGGCCATGGGGCAGATCTTGGAAATATTCCACATGGCACGGGTGTCACGGTGTGGGCACATGAGGAAGGCACCCCCGCTGGCACAGATCTCTTCCCTATAAGCAAAGGGTGCCCATCCCGGGAGGGTCTATCCTCAACCAGCTGGTCAACCTGGCCCACCCAGCCCACACCCCCAACCTCCCCCAACACAGCAACTCGTGCTGGTGTGTTAGTGCCTATGGTGACCAGACCAGAGATAAAGACCAGGGTGCCCACAAGGGCAGCAGGCAGCAGCCAGGCTGTGTAGAAGCCTGAAGGGGTGACAGAAAGCTCGTGAGCCCCCATCTCTGTACTCGACCCCAGCTTCCAGCCCCCACTCATAGTGCTATCACCTAGCCAGGCAAAGTAGATGGCCACCTTCTCCCCAAAGTACTCTCGTACGTGGTCCAGGGGCTGGTACTTGTGCCAGCATCCCTGGTGGGCCCAGTATAAGTACAGCAATTGGCAAGGGTTGAAGTCTGCACCAGGCACCTGGTACCTCGCAGTGGGCCGTAGGGAGATGAAAGGAGGGAGGGCTGCAGGGAAGTCCCAGAATTCTCTCCTGATGCCCCGGCGGCAGGAGAGAGCTGAGCCAGGGACATCTCTACCTCATGCAGTGGGAAGGCTGCAGTATAGACTCCCTTGGCTAGCAGATGGGCAATGCCCATCTCTGTGCGTTTCTGCTTCCCGTGGACTGTGCGGGTCAGGATCTCTGCCACTTGCCAGGGAGAATCCTGGCGTCAGCTCCGCCCCCTTAAGGTCCAGCTGGACCCTCCCCAGGCAGTTGTCTCACCACGAGGTGCCTCTGCGTGTTGGAGAAGTAGGAGTCGTGGGAATCGCTGCCCAGGAATCTGTGAGCAGAGCAGGGGTCAGAAGCCGAGCTCTCTGCCCAATACGAGACCTAACACAACGGGAGTGCGGAAGCTCTAGACTGGGGACAGAAGGATGAGACAGGTCAGCTACTAAAACTAGAGAGGCCATCTACACACAAAGCTCAGCCTGGGCTTGATGTGTTCCAGCCAGGTGAGCATCTGAAGGGAACTGAACGGGAGGGAATGAGGGACCGGGAGCCGCTAGGACACGGCCTGGATCCCAGAATGCGGAAAGTACAGGCCAGAGGCTTAAAGAGAGTTAGGCAGTAGTTGCCTCTCTGGCAAACCCAGGAGGAGCAAACGAGCCCTGATTGGGCTAAGCCTGCTGCTGGCGCCCCGCCCCTCAGCGGAAGGCCCCGCCCTGCCCCACTTGTCCAGCTCAGAGCGGCAGAAGGTGCACGTGCAGAAGTCCAGCATGTGTTGCTGTAAAGGGTTGCGCAGGCGCAGGCGACGCAGCAGCTCCGCCGAGCGGTCGGAGTCCGAGTTGGGTCGGGCCTGAGGGTAGAGAGCAGGTAAGACTCCTGGGGAGTCCGGCACGTGGGGAGACTCTGCTCCCAGGCTGACCCCGCCCCAGCCCATCCCTCCCACCTGCGGCGGCGCGCGCAGGCTCAGTTCCTCCGCGTAGAACACTAGCAACTCCCAGGGCGCGCTCAGCTTGGCGAAGTGCACCGCGCGGGCGCGGGCGCGGGCGCAGCTCTCTGTGGCACTGCGTTCCTGGGGGGCGGGGTCTCCAGGTGGGCCAGAGCCCGGAGCCCCTCCCCTCGTGATCCTGGCCGGGGGTGACAGATCCCGTTGAGGGGGCGGGTCCTTGCCGCCTTCAAAAGCGCTTTGACATGCGTTGCCTCGTTTGAAATTCAAACGAGGAGGGAACTAGCACCCCCATTTTACATTACGTGGACATAGACTCTGAGTAGGCCGGCGTCATACAGTAGTGCTTTTTCCCAATTATTGGGCCCATCCAGTGTGCCAGGCCCTGGGCTGAGCGCTTATACACACTGCGCCCATTTAATCATCACAGCCCCTCTATGGGGCTGACACTACGGTAAAGCCTACTTTACAGATGGGGTGCTGAGGTCGCTTGCGCAGGTCACAGAGCTAGTTAGGGGAGCCCGCGCTCGGCCTGTGGGACGGAGCCCGCGCAGCCCGCCCCCGCCGCGCTCACCTCCTCGAGGAGCTGCCCGGCCGCGCGGAGGTTCCGCTGGAACTTATGGCGCCAGCGCCACCGCAGGAGTCGCTGCCGCTCGGCCCACCGCGCGGGGTCGCAGCGTCTCCTCCCACAGGAGCACGAAGTCTGTCCCATCGCGGGGGCGAGAGGGCAGTTAGGAAGGGTCTGCCCCTCCCTGTCCCACTTCCATCCTGGGTGGGGAGCGGGGGGCTGGGTTTATCAGTCCCACTAAAGCCAAAATTAAATAGTTTGCACTGCAACCACAGGGATTGGGGTTGCTTCGAAGGAGGAACTACCCATTGCAAGTAATGGATGAGATGCCGCGGGATTCCTCGCGGAGGGCAGAGAGGATTTAAGGGAGGGACCGTGGGTTGCTTACTCTGGCTGAGGTAGGGGCAAGAGTCTTGTCTGGCCGAAGTCTCACCGATTTTCGTTTTCCCGTCGCGGAAAAAGGTGCCCCTGGAGTCTGGGGCATAAATGTTGCCGCAAGCCGCGCAGACACGGTCGTCGTCCGGGTCCTTGTCCTCAGCGCCATCGCCGTCGATGCAACAGGACGAGAGCGAGGGTGAGAGGACCCGGGCGCAATGCAGGTGCCGGCAGCTTCTCCACCGGCGGCGCTGGGCCGCCCCTCCCTCAGCTCACCAGCCCGCCCACCCTCGGCTAAACATAAAGCGCAACCATGGAGGCGCTGTCGGCGCGATCTGCGACCCTTCTCCCTCCCCTTCCCCCTCCCCTTCACCGGCTCTCAGCCCAGGAACCACCAGCACTACCCTAATAACAACAAGGGCAAAGGGAACAGCCAACGTTTATTGGGCCCTTAACTTGGCGCCTGGCACGGTGCTAAACGTTTAGGCGCATTTACTTCTTACAACTCAAAGAAGTGGGTGCTACTGTTATCTCCATTTTACAGATGAACACGGGAATTAAAGTGAACAGTCCAAAGTCCAAGTTCTCCTTTACCTTCCTTCTGGACCACCCCCCAAGCCTCAGTCCCTCCCCTTGCTCTCAGGATCCACCCCCCTACTTTCTAGAATAGAGTTGAACACCAACTCCCCCAACTGCCACTGTCCCAGCCTTCAGGTCTGAGGTCACAGCCAGGGAGGGGCCTGCCCGCCACCCCCAGCTTGGCCCTCTGGGGATTTGCCTACACATAACTCCAACCTGTCCTGGGCCCTGAGCCCCCTGCCTCTATCTGGGCACTCCCCCCAAGTCAGTGCCTGGCACGTGGGGGTCTCTGCTGGCACCAGGCTGCCTGGGGAGTAAGGAGATCCAGGGCATGACCAGGAAGCCCCACCCCAACCCTGGACTCACCCAAGGCTCTGGAGACCCGCCCAGCAGCCTTTGCAAATCTGGCTCCTGCATCCTCTTACTCATCCTGGAGCCAGGCACCTACCTGAGATTCTCCTTGTTGCCCTCTAGGCCAGGCTCTGCTGACAGCAAGCAGGAGTTTCATTTAGCAGCTCCACGTGGCCTGGGAAGGGTGGGGGGAGAAATAAAAAGGAAGGAAAGGCAGAGGGAGGGAGGCGCCAGCACCGTATTTCCCCTCGTACAGGCAGCCCCAGGCTTCTGGTTGGAAAAGCAGGGAGGACCAGGTGGGGGCCTGTGAGGGGCTGGACCCAGAAGACAGCACTAGGGGATGAGAGGGAAGGATGGTCCAAGGGAGGGGGGTGCAGAGGGCTAAGAGCATCGGGGCTGCTTCATGGCTCTGCAACCTTGGGTAAATGCCTGTCCTTCTCTGGGCCTCAGCCTCTTTGCTTTAGTCTGTTGCGGCTGCTGTAACAAAATACCACATACTGGGTAGCTTATAAATAACAGAAATTTATTTCTTGGAAGTCTGAGATCAAGGCACTAACACAAGCACAGTCGCATTCTGGTGAGGGCCCTCCTCCTGGTCTATAGCAGAGCTTTCTATGTCCTCACATGGTGGAATGGGCTAGGGAGCTCTGTGGGGTCTCTTTCATAAAAGAACTAATCCCATTCATGAGGGCTCCACCCTCACGACCTAATCACTTCCCAAAGGCCCCTAATACCATGAGAGTGGGGATTAGGATTTCAATATATAAATCTGGGGGAACACAAACATTCAGTCCATAGCACTCCCCGTCTGTAGTCTGTAGGGAAGTGCTCCGGTCTCCTTGAGAGCCCAGATTGGGGAGGGAAGGGGGGGTGGTTGGGAAGTCCTGACTCTGGGACAAACAGCAGCAGGGCTGGGCCACAGCACAACCCCAACGCCAACCCAGGAGAAGACAGTTCCTCCTCCTACTGGCTTCCCTCCAGAGCCCCAAAGTCTGGAGGCTCCAGGGCCCTGAGGAGCAGGCACGGCTACCTTTTTCCCAAAGGTCCCTCTAAGACCAGCCTAGGGGCACGGTCATCACCCCTTCCCTCCAGGGAGCCCCGAGGGCCCCTGACAGGGTGGGGTGAGTGGAGGGGTATTTGCCTTTGAGCTGCTGGGAGGCTTAACCTAATGGTGAAATTTCTGCCACCAAAATGGGGAGAAGGCAACTTCCTGACTTCCTGGGGCCTTCTGACTCTCCACAGAAGTGGCCTCTGTCTTCAAGGCCCTGAGAGAGGAGCTTTATCTGGAGCCCAGACCCTCTCTCCGGACAACATGCGTGGGGCCTGCTACATAATTTGTGGTGTCCAGAATTTTGAGATGGCAACAGCAGAGCATTAAACCAGGTGTGGGGCTCCTCTGAGTGTGGGGCCCTGTGCACTGCTCAGGTGGCAGGCCTCCGAAGCAGGCCTGAATCCACGCACGTGTACACACATTCTCTTACTCACTCTCCACGTGACTCTGCCCAGAGACCACCCTGCAGGCACAGCCACCAGCTGCTAGAATTATGGCTCTGCATCTCCCGCCTCCCTCAGGCTCCCAGTTCTGCCCTCCGTGGAGGCCCCTGGGGGGTAGCCTACTAAATACTAAAGTGGCCTCAAGTCCCACCCCATTGCCCTCCCCGCTTTGTTCTTAGCCAGGGAGACAGCCAAGGGAACTGTTCACCTCTTGGTTTGGGGGGAAAGTGGGAGAGGGGTCGATTCTCTGATGGGAGCAGTGCTAACCAGGAGAAACTGGCCTGCCCTGCCGTGGGGAGGTTCTGGGTTATTTCTCCAAAGCAACCTTCTGGCTCTTGGCTGAAATGGTGCCCAAGAAGGATGTGGAAACTTCCTTTCTGGGGGAGTTTTAAGCCCAGAGATAACTGGCTGGGATGCTGGGTAGCTGGTGTGCACAACACAGGTACCTGTAGCTGGAAGGTCACAGTCGGGCTCAGAGGCCACCTTCACCACGTCTCACCCCCACACCTTGCTCTGCCTGGTAGGGAAAGGTCTACTGGGGCTGAGAACAGAGGGAAACGGGCTGAAACAGAGCTGAACGCTGCAGTGGGAAGGTCTATGGTCCAGGAGCGGGAGCCGCCTGTGGGCTGTGCAGGCTGTGAGGCTTGGGGTCCTGCCCAGGGACATTCCTCCTCTGGGGCATAGGATAAACTCAGGTCTCAGCTCTGAACCTGAGTTGGGGATAAGAAGGTGTTGAAATCAGTCCTTTAGGCGCTGGAAGGGTTGAAAAACCTCCAGGCAGTGCCCAGGGTGGACAGACTGGTAGGTAGCGCCTTGCAGGCCAACAGTGTGCTCAGGAGTGTGAGCAGGGTGGGTGTGTACGAGCCTCCTGTGGTGCCAGGAGGGAGGAGTAGGCAGCGTTTTAGGACAAGTGCTGGTGCGTGTGAGCACATGATCGTGCGTGTGAGTGTGGAGTGTGCAGAGGGGCTGCTTCTCAAGAGGGAGCTCTGAGGGTCAGCTGGCTGACCTAGGCCCTCAGGGCCCTTCCAGCTGGGTTAGACTCAGGACAGGCCTCAGCCCAGGGGGCCATCTATGGGGCTGGATGGAGTGTCATCAGGGAGTGAAAGTATTAGGCCCCCTTTGTCGGCATCCCCCCGCCTCACTTTAGCCTGCATGCATCAGTGTCTCTGGCTGATGGGGCAGGGGTGAGACACAAAAAAGGGCAAGTTCCCTCACCTTCCTGCCCCTGCTCTTGCTGGCCTCCCACAGCAGAGCTGCCTGTCAGGCTCACTCACGCCCTGACCCCGACCTGGTCCAGTCCCTGGCCCTGCCCAATGATGATTTCTGATTCCCGCAAGCTGGCAGGGCCCCTCTCCTAAGCCTAACCTGACAGCTTCATGATCAAGAAAGTACTACCAAGTGAGGGGCTGGCCTCCTGGACACACAGGTGGACTACATTTCCCAGCTTTTTCCCACAGCTCTGTGTGACCACGTGACTGGGTGCTGGCCAATGGAATGTGAGCAGAAATGAGGCACAGCAGCCTAGGCCAGGGCCCTAGAAAACCTCCTAGGTGACCTTCCAGTGCACTCATTCCCTGTCTGCTGACTGGATGCTGATGCCCCAGGGCAAACTGGGAAGCCACGTGTTGAAGATCTCAGAGCCTGGGTCTCTGAATGAGTGCGTGGAGCAGAGCCCCCACACCCACCTTCACCTCCACCTGAGGTGAGCACAAGCAAGAAAAAAAACTTCTATAGAGGTAAGCCACTGAGAGTTCAAGGTTTATCTAGAGCAGATGGTGTTACCTCAACAAATACAGGTTCTTGATTAAAGTCACTTGAGGTCCAGGGCCCAGAGGCACTCCCTCCCCCCAATCACCCTCCCTAGGGTGGGTGAAGGGGGAAGGGCAGCAGGAGGTTGTGGGGGACATTTGAGCCCCGGGGCCCTGCCAATACAATTCCTCAGTTTCGAGAGCCTAGACCCCGGGGCGGAGGGAGAAGACCAGAAGTCACCTAGATGCCCTCAGACCTACAGAGCCTTGTGCCCCCACCTCACTGCCATGAATTCTGCCAGACAAGTGCTGCTGGGGCAGGAGCCTTTCAGGCCACCATCCTCCCTGACCAGGCCACTGTGGCCAGTCCTCAGGATGAGATCAATATTCCTGCCCCAGCCTTAGGCCCTGCATCCTGCCCTCTGCTCTGGGTCACCTGAGGGTCAGGAGTGGGGATCACAGGTGCCTGCTCATGATGCCACCGCCCCTCAGCCAGTGGTGTTCTCTGGGGGGTTGGGGAGCAGGCCAGCTGCCACCTGGTCCTGGTGCCACAGCTGCTCCGCCAGGCCGTTGAGCACGTGGGCAATGTCAGCCAGCCCAGCCCGCCCATCCAGTGTGCGTCCATCTGCCAGCCGCCGCCCTGGCACACTCTTCACCCGCAGGAGGGGCAGTTCCCAGGCCTGCCGGAAGGCTGTGAGGTCACGCTCAGGCACGTCCGTGTGCATGTACTGGTCAAATCTATTTGGAAGAGGATTAAGGAGCCTGGACAGGCACCTCTGCTTACTGCCCCATCAAACCCAGCTTTCTCTTTCCTCCCTGGAGCCCCACACCCAGGGTCTGGGGGAGGCCCTGCTGCAGCCTTTAAGATAAAGCCCATGGGGCTGGACCCCACAGATGAGCAGAGGCAGGATTTATGACCCCTTGCTCCGCGCCTTGCCAAGTGTGGCCTCTGACAATCCTAGGGGCCACTGAAAGGATACTTGGAGCCAATGACCATCCTGACGACACCAGGGGCCTCGCCTGTTACTCGGGCCAGCTGTCCGGGGAGGTCTTCAAAGGAGGCACGGTCGGTGAAGGAGAAGAGGAAGAGGAAAGCGTCTGTTTTCTCCTTGCAAGCCTGGGGATGGAAAGGCTGATGCGAGGCTCGTAACCTCGGTACCAGAACCCTCCTATCAGCTGCAGGGTCCTGAGAAGTCTTAGCACAATCCCTCCTTTCACAGATTGGGAAACTGAGGCCCAGAGCAGGGAGGGAGTGGTTGGTCCCAGGGCAGAGCTCGGGCTGGGACCCAGTCCCTAATGCCAGCTCAGAGCTCTCCCAGCCAGGGCAGCACCCTCAGTCCATTTATGCCCAATTCTGGCTCCTGCAGACCAGGCAGGCTGGGCTCAAACCTGTACTCAGAAGCCCACCTCAGGCAACCAGCCCCTCCCGGACCCACCCAGGCCCACCTGCCTGCTCACCGGCAGCATGTGATCAAACTTTTTGAGCGCAGACTCCCCGCAGTCCCAGAACTCAAAGCGGAACATGACGACACGGTCACTGGCCTGCAGCTTGGCTGGCCAAAATACCACGGTGGTCTGGATGCCTGGGGAGGCCAGGGTTAGCCACTCAGCATGGGAAACATGGAGGTGGAGAGGGGTAGGAGGCCAGGAAGGAATAGGAAGAAGAGATATAGCCCTGCCCTTGTGGGTCCCCAGTCTGACAGTGAAGGCATAGTCGCTGACCTGGGAGAATTCTCAGTCTGATGGAGAAACCGGCCTGCCCTGGAGGAGCCTAGTCTACTAGGGAGATGCAGCCCTAGCCCCAGCTATGAGAAAGCAGTTTCATTCGTATGGACAGGGGGACCCAAAGGTCCCAGGATGCTGGAGGATGCTGCAATGTGATGGTCAATCAGCATCCAGTGGAGGGAAAGAACAAAGGAAGATTAGGGTTTCCTGAGCACCTACCTTGTGCCAGCTCAATGCTAAGCATGTTGCCACAACTATCTCTAGTACCAACTCCACAAAAACCCTGTGGGGTTGGTACTGTTATCCCTATTGGATAGAGGATCCAATGTAGGCTCAGAGATGTGAAGAAGTGACTTTCCAAGGTTGCAGAGTAAATGTCAGGGCTGGTCACATATCCCAACTTACGTCTTTTCTCCACCCCAGGGAAGGCCTCCAAGGATGGACTCACCAGTAGTCTCATGGTGTACCACGGGCACCTCCAGGCCAGCCAGCTTGGCCACCAGCGCCGTCTTGCCCACGCCACTCTTTCCAGACACGAAGATCTTGTAGCTGGCCGTGTCTATCGCCACGGGCGGGGGCAGCACTGGTCGCTCGAGCAGGCCTAGGGTAAGGAGGGAGCCAGGTACGGTCAGGGGGTCAACTTGCACTTGCCCCATCAGACCCTGGGCTGGACAACCTAATCTCAAAGGGCGTTTTCAGTGTCAATCACCCATGGTTCTCCATACTCATTACAGAGGCCTGGGACACAAGCAGAGTAGCTCTCTGAGAACACCTGTGCTCTGTGAGCTGGGCCAAGGCCCACTCCAAATAATACCAAATTATTTTTAAGTTCGATGCATGAGATGGTTTTCATTGATATCATTATCACATGTTCTAGATTTCCCACATGTGAAAACAAAGTTTTGCATAATTCTTTCCTCAGTGGAGAAATATCAGCCAAAGTATTTTCAATTACTATAAACTTCTTTTTTTCATTTATTTATTTTTTTTTTTTGTGAGGAAGATCAGCCCTGAGCTAACATCCGTGCTAATCCTCCTCTTTTTGTTGAGGAAGACCGGCTCTGAGCTAACATCTATTGC